GCTGAACAATACCAAGTTCATCTAGAATTTTGAAATAAGAAGTTTTTGTGCTTATTCAATGGGAAGGCATGAACGCGGTCTACAACATACCTGTTTTGCCCACAGAAACTACAACTCCCACTAAATCAACTTCAGCACATGGTGGCTGAAAAGAGGGATCCAATAAACTTGTGAATGCCAGAGCCTTTCGAGGAAAGAAAATCTGTGGCAGCATCTCTTGTGAGATCTGAAAATACACATTTTAAAATATTTAAAATATACTGTCATGTAGGCTGCTATACTTTTTAATTATGACATCTGCATGAAGTTAAAGCACTTACTGGTAATTGTAGATACTGAGTTTTCTTTGTTGCTGTTAACTGTATTTTAGCTGGGTCCGATCTTCCTTTGGACTGTGATGCTGATAGCTGGTAGATTCTGTACCGACTTCCTTCCTTCAGCAGGGAACAAACATCTAGCAGTGGACGCCAGATACTTAGCATCACTCCTAAAAATACCAGATTAAGATATGTTACGTGTACAATACTAGTGTGAAGGCTTCTTAAACAAAAGAAATCCACAGCATTCCCTCTATCAAAAAAACCTAAGTCAAAAGCAAATACAACCTTAAAAGTTGATATGCAATCTAGAACACTGTCAGGAAACTCTTTTCAAATCTACCTGTTATGTTGAGCTGTTGTCATATGTAAATTAAAGTTACTTACACATCTCCAAATACTAACCGTTATGGTTTTCTTGCTTTCTGTAGTCTACCACACATAATTTCCATACAGTAGACACATCCCTTTTGGAATAACCAAGTTCCTCCTGTTCTGCAGACTCTACTGCCTTCTTGAATTCTGCCTGTATCTGAGCTTGCTTTTTATCATTCATCATCTGCCTGTGAGCATTCAAAGCTTTTAACTGGTCTTCACTGAGATATCCCTGTAACCAAGGTAAAATGTATTCAGTATCTTTTTTTATTAATTAAAAAAAAAAAATCCTCTCAAGTTTTTTAAACAGCCTCTTTTCTAAGTATTCTTCTGTTACCAATAATTTATTGTTCAACTGATATACTACTAGGACCTGAAATGATTGTATGTTAGAACAATGGGGTCACCAGTCTTGACTGAGGCTACTAAGCACCATGTGAATACTAGTATCACATTATATGTGGTTCTTATGTGGTAATTGGTGAGGAGTCTGCTAAGAACTTAATAACTAATATGAATATTTAGTATAACAGGCATGATTATATATTAAAAGAAAGTTCTGTGAGAAGAAAAGAGATGCACCCCTCTCAGCTGGCTGCTGTCTCTGAGCTGACACAGTGATTTATACTAAAATGCCTCAGCAGTGTCATCTTTCTGACCAAGCCCTTCAAGATCTAGATGCCTTTACATGTAGCATAACAGATATGCTTAACATTTTACCAAATAAAGTCACAGCTGTAGGGTTTTAGTGCAGTTAAGGACCCTGACCTTGCAACACGTGAGGCACGCATTTATTTTATAACAACTGGTAGAGACTAATCATCTCCATCTAATTAATAAAGGTAAAACACCTAAAAATTGGGATTGAACTGGAACAGGGAATAAAGAGATAAAGACAGTATAATCATTCAAATGCTTAAGTGAGCAGTGTGCAAGAAAAACGTGTGCAACTAAACACTTAATAGACACATTTAGTTTTTGTCTACATAAGACAGAACAAAGTAATAAAATAACAACAGCTACTAACTCATAATTGCACTACTGGATTTGTTATATCAAAAGAGAGTAATCTATTCTTTTTTGCAACCCAAGATATCACTTGGCTATTTTAACAAGCCTTCATTCAAATAATTTTCAAATTTTTAATTCGAACCTTCTTAGCAATAAGCATACTGTAGGAAATCTTAAAAGAAGGCAAAATACATGGTAATCTAATGGTTGATTTTAGCAGCAGGTAATAAATTGGAAATAATTCCACCACCATTTCAATATTAGCCCAGCAGCATCTACGATTACCTCCATATAGCCAGGATCAGATGCATTCTGAATTGCTTCATAAAGTTCTGCACCATCTTGCAAATTACGGATTTGCTGTCTTGTGACTATGCGTGATCTCAGAACTTTTCTGCTAGTTCTTTCTGTTTAAAAAACCAACCAAACAAAAAAATGCAGAATATGTCAGATACAGTCAATACATTTTAAGAATAAAGAAAAAAGGATATAAGAGCATGACAGTATTTAGGCCTTGTCCAAATAAAAGTACAAACTGCTACTCTACAGAAATTCATTTTCTTTAGGAAAATACTAGTGAAAAGAATTCAAATTAATTTAAATGCAATGTAGACTAGAATATCATGCAGACTCAGGGGAAGGTCTTTTGAAAAGATTAATCAATTTTGGGACTTGTCTGACCCCTCAATGAGCCAGTTCAGTGTGCTAAACCACCAGAAAAGTAATGCTAAAAACAAGGCAATAGTTTTCTGCCAGCTTAGCAAGCAAATACCAGAGCCTGCACTCAGGAGAGGGTGGGGGACTTGAGAGGCTGCCATGAACCTACACTGATACTTGACTATGTGATCTGTTTGTCTGTCACTTCCTCCTCCTCTCCTCACAAAAGGTGACCACAGGAGGGCACGCAAAGCCTCCTTTTCTTAGGACACAAACTAACATGCAAATTAACTTTACTGTGTTAAAGGGATAGAACGCTATCTTCTAATTAGGTAGGTCATCTTTGCTGCTAGCATTTTGGTGAATTCCCTCAGGGAAGAAGACCTCAAATAGTAGGCTCCAGCATTGATAAGTTTACCAATCAACATGAACCAAGGCAGTGAGGTAACTGATACATGCAAGGTCACATCAAGGAAGTTTGAAGTTACAAACTAATCTTTGATTTCAAGTAGGAATTAAAAATATATATTTTTAGGGTAGGGTAATATTTGCAACATTTGCCTTTTCCTTGTTATTCCTGAAAGACTCCACGCTCTGAGAAGGTAGCAAGAGGACATATTAGTGTAATGGATCACCATGAAAAAAACCTTTGAGAAGGGGTAGGCCAGCTGGGTGGCAGATATGACCCTACGGAATTTGAACTGTGAAGCCTGCAACTAGTGATGGAATCCCATCTGTTCCTGGCAAATTAAAAACATATAGACCAGAAGATCAAGGCACCTAGAATCTAAAAACAGTGTGGCAAGATTCCTAATGCCCTTCCTTGTTTGAGCTTAGCTGAGTCAAACTTCAGGGGAAGCAAACATATTTCTGATGCAACAGCCAGCTTCATGAGGTTGTAGCAAACGGCAGCCAACTGTAGCACTTGTAGCAACAACAAACCTGAAACTACTGCCAGAAATCACTGCCAAGGCTGTGCACCGTAATCCCATTGACCTAAGGTCTCCATGATGGCTTGTGACGAAAGATGTCGAGTGCTCAGTATCTTGGCACTCAGGTCTATTGAGATAGACCTTAAGCAGTGTTCACCCCTTGAACAAGCTTGACAGTGCCAAGTCTTTGAAGAGGATGGAATTAGACGGTTTACAGTCTTGTAGCACCTTCCTGACCATTATCTCAATGGCGATTTTCAGCAGCCTAGCTACCAGCAAGTTCTCAGAGTCTTGGAGAGTCACAAAGCCAAACAAGTTAGGTATGCAGTTGTTTTATACTGGAATGCCTTAATACATGGGAAGTAAATATCAAAACAACACACACACACAATTCTTTCCTACTACTACATGCATTTCCTCTTCCCTACTCTCAAAGAGGCTTTTGTTAGATTCTTTAAATTCTTTTGTAAATGCAAAAAAAAAAAGTGTGTTCTCATTACATGTTTTGAAGCAATGAAAGCTTTACCTTCACGCTTTTCAAATTCTGCTTGGACTTTTGCAAACAGAGCTTCCAGTTTCTTTTGTTGATCCTCTGCATACTTGGCAGCTTCCCTTTCTTCAGCTCGACTGTTCCGAAACACATATGACCCAGTTGATGTCTTCTCCATCCACTGAAATAAAAATATTCAAACAAAAATCACATTTTTTAGAAACTCATTTGACTTCTTTCTAAGACTGTTAAGCAAAAATGCTTTAAAAACTAAACAGGTAGTAGTTCTTTCAATATTATATATAAAAGGCAAAACCCCACTGCCTTGGTTGATAAATCTAGATAAAGATTTGCAGAGAGAACAGAGCAGCTGTAGTCAAACCTCTATGATTTAAAAGCTGAAGAAATCATAGCTTATCATAACAGATATCAATGACGTAATTTACAAGATAGCTGGATCCCTCTTGTAGATGCATTTAGATTTAAAGAACAAAAAAAAAAAAAAAATCAAACTCAATGGTGAAAAAATACCAGAACTGCATTCTACCCAATTCATCTTTGCACTTCAGCTGTACAGTCTATATTAACAAGCTGGATTAGATGCCATAAAAGAACTATAATGGTGTTCTGCTGTTGCCCTTAAACTACTTTCGCCTGAAGCGTTTTCACAGGATTACAGCCTCATCCACAGCCCTGTCAGAACTGGTTTGTCTGCTGCCTTAAGTGCATGGTTTGAAGAGATAGGTGAGCCAAACAAAGAGGCTACCACTGCTGAAAGTGGTAGTCTCTGGCTCCTTCCCTTGCTCTTTGCTGTGCAGCTCTGCCTCCTCCTTTGCACTGGCTCTAGTGCTTATCTGGCCCTCACTGGAACATGTTAGTTTGCTAATCCAATAGAAAGCAGTTTGCTTTTTTGCTGGTTTAGTAAACTAAATTAGCTAAGCAAGGGGGTCAGGTGAGCTCCAGATTTAGCATAAAGAAGCAGCAAGACAGTATAGCCAGGAGCATGATGAAGAGGAGATGAAGGATTGATCCTTCAGAGGCAGTCAACTGTTGAAAAAGGCCCTGCCTGTCTCATTAAATGCATGCTTTATATTTCCTCTACTATATGCAGTATGATACCTCAAATTAGGGTTACTGTGGGTCCAAGACCACTTGACTCTTCAGGTAAAAAGGAGATAGATAGCCTAAGTCTTCCTATCTCTTTGGTATGTTTGTTATGTTGGAGCAAGATTTTCATTGTTTCAGAAAAACAAACAAGCAAGTTGATCTCTTGAGGAGATAAAATACAAAGCACCACTTTCCTCCAGAGCCTCGAAGCCATTTACTGTGATGAGGCTACAGATTAGAGGCTCCTTTCTGGGACCTAAATAAATGTTAGCTCTATCAGCGAGTCCACATAGATAGCGCTGCAATTTCTTCCATTAAAAAATGATCTAAATATCAAAATAATGACCCAAACAAATATTGATATTATCTTGGTGGAATTCATGTCACATCGATCAACATTTAAATAACATTTTAGAAAGCAAATGCCAAGGAAATTAAAAACCCTATATGTACGTGCCAAGTATAACATACTCTGAGAAAAGGTAACAAAACATGAATGTTGTATGCTGATTATGCTGTTAACATTAAGAGGACTAATCACCAATGAAAACATTGTTTCTTCTTGTAGTTAGGTCTGTTATGAAAAGCGAGTAGTTACAGTGAAGTTGGATCACATTTAAAATCTGTCTGAATATTTAAAACATCTTCATTCTATTTTACATAATAATCACACTATATTTTCAGTAATATTTTAAATAATAGACCTTACACAATATAATCATCAGCTACATATAAGAAAAATGATTTTTACAATTAGTTCTCAATATTTAAATTATTTAGCATGGATATTGAGTACTATTAATATAGCAAATTGGGTTGGACATTTCTACTTGGAGTTGAAGCTGTCAATGTTTTTTTTCTCTTCTTTCAAACAAGCTCTGTTGTTCTTGTTAGATTAGAGATCTGAATTTCAATTATTTCTGGTTCTTTGAAGCTGAAAACAAAGTTAGCCAGAGAATACTGAGCATAAACTGAAATTCTTCTTAAAAATCAGGATATGCCACTACTGAAACATTAAACACATGCACACTATGCCACTACTGAAATATTAAACGCATGCACACTTTTCATGTTACATATAATGGTATCTTTGGTTAAACTTTTTAGCATTCTATATTAAGTCTTATTTGGGAAATGATGCAACAATTAACTGTTTAGATAAGCTAGATCTAATAGAATTATTAGATGTATAAAATACTTATACCATACCTGAAAAGGATAAGTTCTTTGAATAACTACATCAATACACCCCACTGCACCACCCTCACTGTAAAGCGATGACAAAGGCAAAGGAAAAGGTCTGGGATCCCGATGAAATCCTAGTTTTGCATGCCATCGTGCACATCGAGTACTGTTAGCTGAAATCTGAATAAGTTCATTGTTGAATGAAAAAGTGTCACCGATAGGTCAAAAAGAAATCAGACTTATTAGATGAAAGAGTATTTTTATGCTGACCTCACTAAAAATCTCTCATTTCTCCACCTGAACATACTACATTTTGATCACAGGATTTCTTTTCACATTGAAAAATGTATTTTACGTAGGTATTAAAATCTGGTAAGTTAAACTTCTCTAGAAAATGTGCACCTATGAAATATAAGCCATTGCTTTACACTAGCATAGAAAAATCTGTATACTGAAACTTTACATAGCACTGTATTATCCTCACACAAGTCGAGTCCCCCCTCCCAAGCTCACCCTCTCACAAACTGTTTTTTCCTCCCATCTTTCCTCAAGCTTCTAGGTCTATGATGGATAAATGTTTTTTGTAACTTGCTGTTTCACTGAGTTAAGGATTTAGAACTGACAAAACATGCAACACATACCTTGACAGAATTTTTTTACTATAAAGTTCTCTTCCAAACCTATCGAATAGTGTCAACTGCCTTGTGTCATGTCTTAGCAATTTGGATACTAAACTGACAAAACTTTTGTCTCACTATAGAACTCCATCTGGTTTATAGCATTGCCCAAGGAAATAGCATCCAATCAAGCTGAAGTGATATTTCATTATACCTTTAACATAAGGGAATCTGGTGCTTCCAGTGGTGTACATCCATTCTGAGAGCCAACGAGTTCTGCTCCATGTACTATGATCTTCTGACCAACAGTCAGTCGCTTTCTATGCAAGAACGCTTTGAGAGGCGGATCCACAAGAGCTCTAATCCCATACCAGCCATCGGTAACTTCAATTATTGTTGCTTCTTTTTTACTTTCCACACTGTTGTTGTTACTGCTAGGAGATGCAATGGTATTTAGTGATATGATCTTAGAAATACACAGTACAAGTGTTTTACCTGCTGTATCATCTTTCTCCATTATTTTTTTGATTGCTGATCGTTTACTTTTATCAATTTCCAAATCATATCTACAAAAAAAGAACCCATGACACTCTGTTAAAACATGCAAAATTAATCGCAATCGTTTTCCTTTAAAATAATAGTAATAAACTATTGCTACGTCAGTCTGCAGGATTTAGCACCATTGTAGCAAAGTGAAGCTTATAAAAATTTTAGCAAATAACATGCAATACATTTTTAATATTGATATAACTAATTTAAACAATACAAGCATTCCAATAAATAATAAATACAAGGTAGATGTGCTTATTTTATAATATTATAAACTAGAAAACACATATTATCACAAATTACAACTCCAAATATGTTGCTATGCATACCTGTATTTTAATTGCAACAACACTGTTTCTGGTGTCAAACATCTATTAGCAAACTTATGTGGAAAAGACACTTCCATGGCTGCCAATTTCCATACAATCCACCTATAGTGATTGTAAACCCATGCCTCCGTTATTAGCTTGGGATCCACACCAGGAGTATCACAGAGGGCTCTGCAAATGAATTATTAATACATTAATCTGAAATCCACTAAGTTTTTACTTTTACATGTTTTTCCATAGCATTGCATTTGGTATACCTACATAGGCAAAGAACAGTTACTACTGTGAAAACTGGAAAATTACTTACCATGAACCAGAGGTCTTTCCTGAAATCTTGTCCATATACACTTTGGCAGCTTGAATGTACATACATACGTTTGTTCTCGAAATTGAGATGTTTTAACATGCCCCATCAGCTTCATGCAGCTATACACACAGCATAAAGGGGAGAGATGTGTGCTCCATTCCCTTTCAACACTGGAATTTCCCCTGCGTGCTTGATTAACTAATTACAATTCATCCCCTTCTACCTCACAGTCTTTAAAGTTGTGATTTAGGTGGTTGTCTTTGTGTATTTTTGTTTGTTTGTTTTTTAACGTGCATGTGGACAACACATTTAAAAACTTTCAGTTACTACTAAAAAACTTTCGGACTTTCATTCTGTGTTGATTCCGAGCTGTACCCTTATGAACTGCACGAGGATTCTTGGAAACCTTTATTTTTTCCAACTCTCTTAGTTACTAGGAAGGACCTTTCATTAAAGAAGGAAGAATCAGACCAGAGACTCAAATGGCTGAGCCATTAGATCGGTCAGAATATAACTTAAAGCACACAAGAAAGTCAGTTCCCAACTGGTCAGAAAGCCTCAAGAACACTTTAATGAATTATATTGCATTGGGTGAGGAAAAGAAACAATTAAAAGTTGAAAACTCATACATCGGAAAACAAAGAGCAGGCATGACCATCAAAATTAATTATCATTACATTAGAACAAAGCCAAGTAATTTTAAGCTTTAGGAGATATTCTAATCTCTTGTAAAGGACACCATGCAATTCAAGAGTTAAAGAGAGGATTCAGTTCACAATTAAGACCCTAAACATAGATGACTAAATGAAGGTGCATATGTTGTAGTTGATGGAGATTCCATCAATACACTTACCAGGATAAAGAGATTGATTCAACTGACCATCAGCAGATATTTCTTCTCAATCACAGACTTTAAAATATAAACAAATCCAGAAAAGATAAAGGAACTGAGGGCACTTGTGGAACAATCTCTACAAAATGCTTGAGAGGAAATCTAATATTCAGGGTCAGATCTATGTTGACACCGGAGCAAGTTATGATACCGAAAATGCCTTGGCTGTGCTGGGACAGTTAGCAGTATGTTGGTGGTTTCTCTCTTCTCTTGCTAAGAAAAGGAACGTGGTGAAAGCCATGCACCAGATGGCTTGACCAGAAGCAGAAACGCATCTGAAAAGGACCGCCAAGACAAGCTTCCTCTGGAACAGGAAAATGGACTGGTTAAGAAGGCCAACCTTTGGCTTGTCTAGTCATAAGATGTTTTGTGTCAATACGTTTCTTATTCACAGGAAAATTGTGTGAAATGAATCAAGATAACCACTGGAACCTCCAATGCATATGAGTGGTAGATTGCAAATATACCGATACAGAAGTGGATACATTTTTCCCCAGAGGTCTACTGCTTCCTGACAAAAAACAATCCAAACCTCACATGTGCTATCCATTTGTGTAGAACACTATAATCGTGTTGCTTGTCAGTCTAGAAATAGCAACCTTTCCTATGAGGAAGCAACGATCAGTATACTTACTAAAATGCATAAAACTCTAAAACACTGACAAGTAGGCAAGAGCTCCTGCACTGTTACTGCACACAAGAGAACATCCCAGCCAGTCTTTTAAGCATCAACCATACATGCTTTGCAGGAACACTCCCTCTGACAAGGTGTATCCCAAAAAAAAAAAATTCAACAATTGTGTCATCAGTGGAGGGAAATGAAGAATGAGGGATGGTAATTGTAATTAATGATAATTAATAGTGAAATACTTGCCAGATGGGGGAATAAACAGACAAGCCACAAGTCAGGTTAAGCTCTGCATATTCCACCTCTGGGTTACACGGCCCAGAGCTGTTAATTAAACAGTTCAGTCACGTGATGCCACAGGGTGTGAAAAGGAGCTGCGGGAGGATTAACTTTGTCTTGCAGTATTTAGAATAACAATAATTAGTGGTTTAACAAGCTAGAATATTTTCATATTTATTGTCAAATCAAGAGATTCAACAACTTCCAGAGCAGAATGCAAAGATACCTTGACTTCAGTAAAGACTTTGACAGTCTCCCCTTGTTTCCTTATCACCGAATTGGTAAGATTTGGGCTGGAAAAGTAGATGATAAGATGGGTGGAAAATTGGCAGCACTGCTACGCTCAAAGAGTTATGATCCACAGTATGAAGTCCAGCTGGTGGCCAGTAACTAGTGGCATCTGTTAAGGATCAATATGGGGACCAATACTGTTTAATGTCTTCATCAGCAACCTGGAGCACAGGACAGAGTCCACTTTTGGGCAAGTTTGCAGATGACGCCAAACTAGGGGGAGTAGCTAACACATTGGAGGGCAAGGCTGCTACTCAGAGGGACCTGGACAGGCTGGAGAAATGGACTAACAGGAATCTCAATATTCAACAAAACCAAATGCAAAATCTTGCACCTGGAATGGAATAACTCCATGTAACAATAACACGCTGGGGCTGTCTGTCTGGGAAACAGCTTTGAAGAAAAGGATCTTGGGTCCTGCTCCTGCTGAATTACAAGACGATCATGAGGCAGCAGTGTGCCCCTGCAGCAAAGGGCAACTGCATCCTGGGCTGTACTGTTAAGAGTGAAGCCAGCAGAGAAGTGATCCTTCCCCTCTCTTCAGCATTTGTGAGACTACACCTGGAGTGCTGTGTTCAGTTTTGGGCTCTCCAACACAAAGATGTTGGTATCCTGGAGAAAACCCAGCAGACAGCCACCAAGATGGTTCCCCCATGCTGCAGGGGACCAAGTACATTACATATGAGAAGAGGCTAAGAGACCTGGGTTTGTTCAGCTTTAAGAAGAGAAGGCTAAGAGGAGACCTTATTGCTGTCTACAACTACCTGATTGGAGGATACAGAGAAGATGGAGACATACTCTTCTCAGAAGTGCAACCAACAAGTTAGAACATGGAAAATTCCAACTAGATTCAAGTTTTTTTTTTTTTTTTTTTTTTTTTACATTTTGAGAGTGGTCAAACACTTGGGTAGCATGGACTACCCAAAGGGGTTGAGGAATCTCTACCCTTGGAGGTGTTCAAGACTCAGTTAGACAAGTCCCTAAGTAACCAGATCTAAACAGACTTGTTTTGAACAGGGGCTTGGACTGGATGATTGCTGGAGGTCCCTTCCAACTTAACCTACTTCATGATTCTGTAAATTCCAGCACTTGATCTTGAGAACTATGCAGAATAACTGCATAGTTATTCTGGTACAGACACAGTTCTCCCAAGATGAATAAATACTGATGGCACCAAAAATGTTTCCTAAAGTCATGTGGGAAAAGTCAGCAATGACCCTGACCCACTGATCAGCATGATAAAGCATTTTTTCCAGGAGGAAGTGCAGATTACAACACGGAAGTAAACATCTTGTACAAGTCAATTTTCTCCACACTGGTTTACTGGCACTAACTCCACCAGGCCAAACTCAGACTTGCAAGTGAAAGCAGTCCTGGAGCTTGGAACAGACCTAGTCTCCGTTGCATTTTGCTATTGGAAAGCAGATGCCACAAATGTCTTCATTCCGATATTATGTATGTTGGTAACACAAGCTTAACTACAAATACTGCTCAAGTACAGGTCTTAGCTTGAGTATTTGGGTGAACACACACCACCAACGATGCTGACTTGGGAAAAAAAAAACACCTTCAAATTGACTGACAAAATTAGCGAAAGTCCAGAAATTATTTTACTGGCCAATATTTTCTGAAGTTTTGCTGAAACAATACACCAACAGTTCCTTTTTCTGTTACACATACTTTTGCTAAAGTTGTATTTAATGTATAAATTTGCTTACAGCAAAACAAAACACAGTTTTAATGAAAGTGTTTAGAAGAGATGTACTCAACACATTTTTGTTTTCAGTTTATCTCAAATGACCTTAATTGTCCAGGAACAGAAGGTGGTCCGAGAAGACTGGAGTTGTTTGTACGCTTCTTTTGCTTCTTTGCTTTTGCTTACACTCAAAAGAAAGCTTGAATGAATCAGTGAAAGTTCTACCAGTGGAATCTTGGCTTCCTTCAAATTATGCTATAAATCCAGCTTCTTTTTGTAAAGTCAGCTTTAAAAATTTCATCACTAAAAAACATTTCCAGCATTGTTCTGCCAAAGAAACCTTAAACAACCTCTGCCCCCTCAAAACCTGACCTTCATTCCTTCGTTCTCCCACCCCCTAAACTCTTGAGCCTAACAGAGGCAAATCTTTTTCCACTTGAAAAAGTCACAACCTATTAAGGCTATAATTAAACAAAATGATAAAGGGCTAAATTAATCAGTAAATTTTTTTAGACTACATATGCTATAGGAGAACCTCCGCAAATTTCTAAGTTGACTTTATGTTTTGCTTAATGCTCAATTAAGATCATGAACAGCGATTTTACTTAACAGTAGTCTACGCAGTTACAGTAACAGAGGTGTACTAAAAATGCAAGGTAAAAAAGTAGCTAGAGACTTTAAAAGATTAATTTGTTAAACTTATTGCAGGGAATAAGAGAATCGCAAACTAAAATAGCACACTTGCCTCAAGTTCATAAATACCTGTAAAACTCCTTTTTTCCAGCTTTACCCTCATCTGTAGGTATTAGCCATCCTCCATCAGCAAGTTGCATCCCATGTCCAGCTAGTAAATACTCCTTACTGAAAAACTCTTCCATGAGAAACTGAAAACATTCTGCATTCACACTGTTAACTTGTATGCAATGTTTTGAAACACCATATGTGTAAAGCTGTAAAAAATAAGATTAAAAAAGACAAAATAATGACAATACAGTAAATAATTCAGCTGATTTTTTACATCTAATGCTAAAAATTCACATAAAATATCTCCTTGAGTTTCAGAAAGCTTTTATCTGACCTTGTCATTTTGTATGTAATCCAAGGAGAACAGAGGAACTCTCAACAACTATTTTTGCCCAAGTGCAGCACTACATATGTGCTTTTAAAAGGAATTTCAAAAAGTTTACCAGGCTTTGCACCTTTACTGTGCCTAAAGCAAGAAGTTTTTGGTACTGACTCAGCTAAAAGTCATTAGCTGCTATCACTGGTGGATTTTTTCCTTGTTCTGCTTCTCTCATTTGATGATGTTACAGAAATGTGTAAGATTTGGAATATTCCTAAAAACTGCAGCTACACAAGACTCCTTAAAAAGCTGTAGCAACTGGTATAATAGCTTCTGTACTCATCCTGAAACCAAACAAGATACTGTGAGGGTGACTGAGCACTGGAACAGGTTGCCCAGAGAGGTAGTGCAGTCTTCTTCCCTGGAGATACTCAAAACCCATCTGGATGTGATCCTGGGAAATATGCTCTAGAGGACTCTGCTTGAGCAGGGAGGTTGGACTAGATGATCTCCAGAGGTCCCTTCCAACCTCAACCATTCTGTGATTCTGTATCTATTCAAAAGATTTTTGTTTTAAGGAAGAGACCCTGGAAAGATGTACAGTATAAAGGTATGAATATACCTGTTCCACAGAATAAGAACTAGGAGACGTCTCTTCTACTGCAGTTTTCAGAGAGATTCTATTTCTTGCAGACGTTTTTATGACATAAAGACTGCCTGGTTGTGAGCTAACATTTTGGCTATATTTCTTTTTAATTCTCATTTCCTGCAGATGTCTTGCACAGTGGAGATTTGTCATCATCTTGCTCATAGCTGCAAAAATAAGAGGTCATCAAGGCCTACTTAAAATATTATCAATTTAAGATACTCATAGAATAAAAGCCGATTCAAAGATCCATATTTTCCAAGTCACTACACAGATCTTTAGAATCTGCAAGAAGTCTAAACATCCAAAGTTTAAAGCATGTAAAAAGCAGTGTTTACTGCAGGCATTTGAAAAATATTGACATGAAATGAGCTGAAGTCCCTGAACTAAACTTAACACCATATATTTTTCCGCAGACTGAGCTCTATCTTCATAGAAAACATCACACGAATAGAAACAGGTAGATGATGACTAGGAAGTCTGTAATCCTGAGACTGACCTGTAAATAGGGGATCTAGTTCTGTAAACACTTATGTGTATGTTTAAACTGATATACATGAGTCCTTCTGAAGAAATCCAAATTATTTGATTTTAATAGTTACATAAACTATACATACTAGAACATTCTAGAGAGACTAGAAGGCATAATAAGTCCATACACCAAAAAGTGAAAGAGCAGAGCTTTTAAACTCTGCTGCTTTGAAAACGCCACAGTCAGCCTAATCAGGAAACACAATGAATATAAGCTTCTATAAAAGTGAATGAAGTATAGCAAGGCCACTCCATAAAGATACTGAAATACTTTTTTATATATATATAATATATATACATATACGCACACACATATACAAAAAAACCCAAACATCAAATGAAACATAACCATCTTAAACATTTGTTCCTGAAAGAGCCTGTGAAAACAAATTGTTCACATTTGTAATTAACTTTCAAGATGCATATGCCATATTATAAGCACAGTATAAACTATGAGGAAAGTCATTATTTCCCAATTTCCCCTACAAAAAAGGCTTATAAAGAAAATAAAAAGTCTGACAGAACGTTTAAAGCCCTTAAAGGTCAAATTCAGATCGTTAGTGTTTGTAGCAGGTAAGTGATCAAAATCTGAAAATACCTGAATTGCCATTTTCTAAGTCATTGTCTGCTGCTTGCTGGATGTAACTGCTCCCCTCTGATTGGGGATGGTGAGCTTCGGCAATATTTTGTTTAACTGTGATCCAATCTGTTTCCCTCTCTTTAGTCATATTTTTGCTGATCAGAGAGTCACATCCGCTGCTGCCATCTTGTTCATCTGTAGAAAAAGTCAGCTTTGTTCTGAAGGGTGGAATAAAAGTTTTAACAGTTTTGCTAGGTTTGTACAAACTTTTTGCTTCTTCAGTCTCTTCAGTCAAGGCCTTACGTGGAGTAGAAAACCCTGAAGTACCACTTGAAGACTCTCTTAGTGCACAGTGCTGAAAAATGGCAGATTTAGATCTAAATCCTTTGAAGTCTTGATCTGGAAGAGTAAAGGTAGGATTCTTGACTTCTTGTCGCTCTTTAGTAGAACTGCGGAGGTGAAAACATTTAAGCATATAGGTTCAGCTTCCCGACATGATTCTTTGTAAAAAACGTTGATGTTCTTAATTTATCAAACTAACGTTCAAAGCCACACCAATAAAAAGATAGAATGTTATCTAGTCTTTGACTTTTTAAAAACTGAATACTTAATTTGCATCTACTGAGAAAAGATAAACAAGTGTAAAATTTCTGTTTTGCATCTCAGTGAACTACTGCAGGAATACATGTCATATGGTAATTTGATGTGTTTATTCCGAAGCAAAATTGCTTCATCTTTTACAAAGTTGGGTAACAAACTACCACCACACGTTAAAGTCCCAAGAAACTGTAAGGTCTTAAGAAACTCTAAAATATATTATAAATAACTCACCCAAAAGGTCCACAAGTTATAGGTTTTAAAGGAACATGGTATATAAATTTTCTTCTGTCTTTGAAAATGCCTTTAATTAGAAAAAAAGTTTGAAAGGGTACGTTATATGGATGGATATTTACAGAACATATCTATATATAACTATAGTTATATAGTTACATATAACTATATATTTATAATGTTAATACAGAAAAAGACAAGTTTGTAGAATGGGTTAAAAGAGTTTTGTCCTATTTTTTGCAATAAAATCTTTGTATAAAATGTCTTTGATGTTGAGAAAGCCATTTCCGTTTTCCTAGCTTATCTTTGATGAATAATAAATAAATAAATATAGAAAAAACAATCAGGCACAAAACATTTAACACTTCCAGGGCTAATCTTACTGTCAGAACAACTCTTAATATCTGAACTTTTAATGTCTGAATATGTTTTTCAATAGTACTGCTCAAAACCACTTACAGAAGGAAAAAGCAATCATCTTCACCATTTCTGAATATTACAAATTTTTTACAGCACAAACTTGTCTTTCATAACCTGATGGCCCCTAGAAATATTATTTCTATTTACCAGTTCAGTAACTAGCATCCTTTGGAATGCAATGCTCTTGTGCATTTCACATGTTTCACATGGCCAGAACCAGATATTCTGCCAACATCTGCTTGCTCTAAGCATTACAGTTACAGTTATCAATTAACCAAGGATACACAGATAGTTACAGACCAACAAAGACAAATTAAAACTCCTAACAGACAGAGTTTGACACTAGAAGGAAAACTTTTACAGAGTCTCAAGAAATCTTGCTGTGGCAAAAACCAAGGAAAATAGCAGAATTGTCAGTAGTCTGGTGACAGGCCATCAGAAATGCAAAATACATTTTCAAGGAACAACACAGTTCTCCTCTTTAATACATAGTTCAATACACCTGATAAATTAAACACTGAGGCAAAATGCAAAATTGACGCCACGTGACTGATTTTTTTTTTCAATTTAGAAATATAGAACTTTCTTAAAGATTCTTCTCTCTGGAAAATGAGAGACTGAGCAAGATCTTTATAAAGATAATATTCAGCCACATGCCATCTTACGTGACAAATAAGACAGATTTAGGAATACGTTATTTCCCCTTATATGGTCAGAACACTTGGCAAGCAATAAGTGTATGAGTGGACTGGTAGCCATTTTAAGAAACTAGGAACCAGAATCAAACCCAGCACATCTGGGGTCACATAAGAGCTCTAACTGGTCTTATTTGAGGTTCTTGGCAGTTACAGTACAGTTTGAAAAATAAATAACTGATGCCATCTCCTACTGATCCCCAATTCTTGTTCATATGGTTTCAAACAGAACTAAAAGATAAGTGACCATAAAGCTGAACTCTCAATTCTCATTTGTGAGTGTGCAAGATGCTTTGGGTTCCTGGTAGGGGAATGTTTAGCATACGTTTAATTCCAGGTAAGCTCCCCATTCAATTAAGAACTCATTTAGCAATTTATTCATTTATTATCTGCAGTTGCAAGAGAAGAGAGCATGTTTGCACATACCAGCTTCTCCTCCTTCCATTATTCAAAAAATATGCTCATCTTGGACTTATCAACATATCTAAATCATGTTTAACTGGAACTTAAATTGATCTGTGCTGTGCCTTTCGGCTACGAAGGGGAAGAGGAAAGATTGCACTGGAGATAGAACTGTTTTCAGTTGTTCCACCATACACAGCAACATTGTCCAGATTGTGTTGCAGGGTAGGATAGTATTCACAGATGCATGGTTCAAAATTGTTCTCTGGCAGCAACTTACAAGTTCCATTTAAAACTTTCTTTGAATCATGAATCTTATGCTTCGAACTGATTTAATGGCTGCATTTGGGAATCAGTGAATCTGTTCAAAAGAGCAGCTTTCTAGCAGTCCAATATCTAGTTACAGAATCACTTCTACACACTAACGTAGGTAAGTCATTATAGTTACTATGATAACTGTAAACTTACTTGATGCTACTAGTTGGCTAGGAAGCCAACTGTATTGATAGCTGTATGTGCCTATGAAGAATTCAAGAAATTTTCTGAGCATTTGAATAATGTGTTCAAGAACAGTGGTTTGCATCTCCCATAAAATACTGAAGGTATTATGGAGGATTTTTTTCCTAATCTGATGCAGCAAATGAAAACATTCATAATCTGAGATTAAGCATGACTCCCCTTTCAGCTTTCTTCTTAGAATACAGAAAATACTTTGAATAAAGTATTTGAATAAAAACTGTTTAAATAGGTTTATATGAGTTTTATAGATTTCTTCTGCAGATTGAAATTAAGTACAGTTCCCTTGGGAGTAGCCTGGCACAGAAGGTGCTTCCTTAAACGGACAGTAAAGGTGAACCAAAATTGAACTTGGTGTCTAAACAATAACATTAGAAACCATTCATGATGAAATCTTTCTGTGTTATAGCTTCAAGAGAAGCTTTCACATTATCTAAAGAAATAGGAAGGTGAGGCTTTTCAGATTCTTGTAATAAGTAATGCAGATCACAATCTAGGTTAGAGAATAGTTGGCTGAGACAATCCAAAGTGGAAGTGGTATTAATGAGATGTATAAAATGTTTCACAAGTCCAGCTAGCACCATTGCAGTACTGTGTACATGAAAGGGGCAGACCTCTACATCATCAGAAAAATTCACCGAAACTGGATTCTTTTTACATTCTGTACTATTTTCAAGGCTTTAAAAAGCAGCAGCTGTGAAGGAACATCTCTCATCTAAGATAAAAGATTGACAATAATTATTAGTTGTACATGCTTTTCTGACTTAGTGAATAAATCCTGCTACTCAGTTCCAGATGAGGTTCCACAGTGCTTAGAAAGAACAAGTTACTAAAAACCAATCAAACCAAAAAACACCACACACACGCAGTTTATCCTATGACCAAAAGCACTGGTCAAAATCACATCATCCTAGCACCCTAGTAAAACCATCTTTCCATAAAGCATCATCTCAAATTTTAAAACCTCGGTTTCATTTTCATGTGTCTCCATACTACTGGCTCAAAACATCAAAAGCACCTGTAATGCAATGCCTGTCCATAACTACATTCACAAATTATTGTATGTTGAGATTGTCAGTAGCTTCTCTTTTCCTGTAGATACAGGATTTAATTATGAAATTACAGATCAATAAAATGTATTCCTCCGAGTTTGGAATTTGAGATTTGAGACTGTGAGAAACTGGCTGAATTTCTACCACGTTGGAGATAAAATGGAATTCTTGCAGTACTAGCACTTTTAAATATATTTAGATACTATATGATAAGGCATGCAATTAATCATGTAATTTCAAGTCAGCAGAGACATTATCATAGCAGTTTCCTTGATTTTTCATGACTATATTAGTAAGAGAAGCAGTTGAGCAATCTTATTTTATGTTACTTTATTGGAAAATGACAAATTCTAAAGCTAACACTTGACATCAGACTACTACTTTGGATACAAGAACACTACAATTACCATCAGGGATGCTTTTCAAAGATTTCAAAGATCCGGTGGGATTCTTTGTTCTGTCAAATTCAGGTAGCAGCTGTCTTTTAATTGGAGGTTCTCCTAGGATAAAAAACACAGATTTAAAAAATGAACCTCCTTTTAAGTTCAGTTTCTAACCCAGCACTGTGTAAATTAACTAAGTTTTTAAATACAACATTCAAGAAGTCACAACAAACACAAGCAGCAGATCTTCAAATCACACTTCTATATTAAAAGCATACTTTTCCAATACAGAGTTGCTTTACTACCCTTTGAAAAAGTTTCTTTTGTACAGGATGGCTATTTAGCATTAACAAGAATGGTTTTGAGACATTTATACAACAAAGTCTATTGCAGACTCTTTTGTGGTCAGTAGGCTGCTCCCTCCAAGTCAAAATCTGTGCATCTTAAGTTACCAAACATCCTGGACACAGTCTGCCTCAGGAAGTTAACCACAGTGGACTTCAACACCACAGCTCGCCTGTATCTTCTTTTGTACTTTTGGTAATGAAGGGGTCCCTACACAATTCTAAAAAAAAAAAAAAAAAAAAGGGCAACATTTCTTTTTCAAGAAGTTATAATAAAGGGTATTGCTCCAGTATGGCAAAAACTAGTTCAAATTGGAGTAATAGAGTCCCATCTGCCTTTCAACACCTATTTGAACTTTCTCACACTAGCCCCCTGCCCTTTGTACCAGAACTTGTGCAGCTGGGCAGTGAGTCTGTTGCAATCTAACCCTTCCGTGACCTGTTTTCAGCTGGCCCAGATCTCTGAACAGGTTCTGGGCAACTGTACAAGCATTACTATCAACACTGCAGCCCTGAGATAGACAAGCTTTAGGCAGCAAGGAACCATGCTTTCAGACCAAACAACTGCTTTTCAAATCAGAAGACTAGCAGTCCCAATGTAAGTGAAACCTTGTCCTCATCCACAAGGCACAAAATGTGGAAAACGGAAATACTAATTCTCATTTTTAAATAAAAAAAGACATTTGTGCAGAGAGTAGTACAACATCCTATTCAAAAAGAAGGAAAATTAAGTCTGCCTTCTCAAAGAGGCATAACCCTTTTCCACACCATTACATGACAACTGGAGCTTTCACAGAACAGCAAAACCTGCACAGCTTTAGAATTAGAAGTAACACCTTTGGCTTGTACTACGCATTTTAGGCTGGAAAGAGTGGATGAAATCTTGCTTGCAGCAAGAAATTTGTTGTTGACGCTAAGAGAGAGAAGTTCAAATTTGAGATGACAAAAATATCAATTTGTTACATCCAAAAACCACCCACCAATATAGAAGTATGAAGTTGAACATATATAAGACAAAGACCTACCGAGTGAGGAATTTCCTTCCAAGTGCCTCTTCCCAAACATCTTATTTTGAAAGTTTTTATCCAGCATTCTGCCACCAAAGGATTGTGTGGCATTAATTCGTACTCCAGAATGTGAAAGATCATCTTCCATAAAAGCTTTTGCACTTTCTACAGCCTCCACTTCCAAGCAATTTTTTGGAGTTTGGAAACACGCAAGGTTAATGTTCCTTTCTCCTTTAGCAATAGAACTGCATGAAACTGCTTCAGACTTTGTTTCCATCTCCAGATTCTGCTGCCCTTCTCCCAGAGAAGTCTGTCCTTGCTGAAAACTATTTTTAAATAATGTTAACTGTTTGTCTTTCTTACTACACGGTATGTGCTCAGGCGTTTTAACATGGTGCGAGCTTGGAAGAGGTTTCATTTCTGCTGGGTAGATGCCTTCTAATTCAAGTTCTTCACTGAAGTTTTCTTCAGTTTTGGATGCTGAGATTACTTTATCTACTATTTTGGCTGTATCACCACAATCAGTTAGAGATTTTACAGGCTGACCACTGTCTTTAGTTGAACTAAATTGATTTGTAATGCAAAGCCTATTGCCCACAAAGTTATCAGAATCTTCCAAAATTGCCTTTGCCCTCTGATAGGCATTTTCAGAGACTTTAACATGCTTTCCACTTGCAGTGCTGAACCCAAAAGCAGGATGTAAAATCAATTCAGTATTGGAATTTTCTCTCTCTTTTGGTAGTATTACCCCTGTTTTCCTAGGAACTGCTTCAGTGCTCATTTCAGACTTTTTAACATCTTCCTCAACTGAAAGTATTTCTTGCAGACCTGAGGAACTATTATTTTCCATTTCACAAAAGAGCTGCCTAGCTTTCTTTAGTGACTCTTCTGACAATTGCACTGGTTTACCACTTGCTGTACTAAAAAATCCAAGATTACCCATAGAAAAATCTGACTGCTTTATTTGCTTATCTGGCATAGGCAAGTGTCCTAAAGGCTTAATATTCTGTTCAAAGCACTGCATCTGAGAATTTGGAACAGACTCTGCATCTGCAAGCGTATTTGTATCATGGTGTCCCTTTTCACCTGCATTCTCATTTACATTAATGAAATGGGATGCAACTGAATTAGTCTCCTCACTTTTTGCAGCATTTAACAGTTTAGCAGAATCAGGACACTGACCATGAACAATGAAAGATGAATTTGCAGCAACTTCCATCTGATTAGTTTTTGATGTAGACTCAGTTTTGGGTTTTACAAATTCACCATTGTCTTGAAACATTTCTCTGACTCTTGCTAATGCATTTTTTGAAACTGAAACTGCTTTACCTTTTGCTGTACTAATCACAATTGGTTTCAGATCCTCCATGTGTTTTTCAGCGTTAAAACTACATGATGTTTCTTCTAATGTGGTCAAATTAGTTTCATCTTCAGGACCGCCAGCTAGGGACTGTTCTTGGTGAGCATTAACTGTGGTATTTGTGAAGCAGTTTGTATAAGGACAAGATTCATTTAGATGTTCTAAGTTAAATTCCTTACTGTCACAATTCAAATGAGAAGAGCTACATTTTGAAACACTGCTGTAAGTTAAGAGGAAGGAGTGATTATTTTTACTACACTCAACAAATAAACTATTTTTTGCATCTCTACACACAGAATCATCTGCAAGGTCATTCGATACCTTCATTAAGTGTGGAAATACAGTAGATTGCACAGGACAATCACGTATGTTTTCTGAATGATTGCTTTTTTTTGCCAAATATTCCATGTCTCTCTCTGCAAACAGTTTTTCACCCTCAGACAATGAAGTTTCACTTGAAGCATCACTGTCTTTTCCAGGAAAGTATTGTGACTTTCCAAATGTGACATCACGTTTTTTCCATGCACTTTGAATTCCAAAATTTCTTTCACAATCTTTACCTGCATTAATAATTGCATCTTTATGAACAGTATCAAGAATACCAGTTTGTTTAAAGGGACTATGCTCTACTGTCTTTTTAAACTGATCTCCAGTTTCTTTAGAAAGAAGGTTTTCATTAAAATTAAGTGTTTCTGAATCATGTTGAGCAGTGCTTTCAATATATGAGTCACAGTCTTTGACACAGTCCGTACTACATCTTCTTTTCTTTAAGGGGTCCTCGAAATTGTCACTCTGTTCCTTTCCTAAAACATCGTCTTCTGCAAAGAACTGCTTGGCCTTAGCCAAAAATCCATCAGCAATTGTTATTTTCTTGCCACTCGCAGTATGGAAACCAGATGGATAACTCCCTTTAACTGCATTTTGTTCAACATCCATCTCTTGCTGAAAAGGCATTTGATGATGATGGTAAGAGCCTATTTTTATTTTGCTGTGGTTTACAAACAGGTTTTTACCAAGGGTGGTGTCTGCTTCTCCCATACTATTTGTCTTTTGTTTATCAGAGTTCTCTGAAACACTTACATCTCTTTCTCCACGTTTTACCTTGAGCAAGTATACAGAATCATCCAAAGATGCATCAGAAATGGAGATATCACCATCAGCTGCAGTTTGCAATCTCTGTGGTGAGTATTTATCTTCTTGATTTCTCTCTTGTCCTTTCTGATTAGGAACCAGTTTTTCCATTTCACTGGATATACTCAAACTATGTTTTCCTCCAGTGGTAGTAGCATCTCCTAAACATGTCACATCTAATGAGTCTTCTTGCAAATTGCCTTCAACTTGGTAATCTCCTTGATTCAAAAATTGTTTGGAAATTTTCAGATTCTGGTTGTGTTTTGTAATGGATGACAGACTGTTTCCCATGTCACAGGCAGAATACCTACCATTATTCGTACAACTAAAATCAATGTTTTCATCATCATTTCTTGATCTTTTTGTCCAATTTTCTGTATTTCTCCCAAACAGTGTACTGATATTTTCCTCATATTTTTTCTCTGAATGGTGGGAAACAGAACCTGTGCAGAAGTCAGAATCTGTGCTTTTAAAGTTTTTAACACAAACTGTTTTTCCTCTGTTTTCTTTTGTCAGGCATCCGAAAAAATTCCAGTCAGAAGACTTAAGTCCATTTGAACTCTGGCATCTGGTATTAGTTTCAGAAGATTTAAAGAAGTAGTTATCATCATCCAAGTCCCTGAACAGCTCTGCAGACCTGGTCAAAGCAGCTTTAGAAATATTTATTTTTTTACCTCCAGCTGAAGTAAAGCCTACAAAGTTAGAAAAGCTGTCCTGTATGGGCACTGGAAAGCTTTGACCATCAGATACTCTACTTCCATTTCCATCTAAATGAGTAAAAATAACCTCTTTGTTATTTTTATAGAAAATAATTTTGTTCTCTTTTTCATATTCTATCATTTTAGACTCTTTATTTGTGTCTTCCTGCTTACTACAATACTTCCTGCTTACTTGATTTTCAGATTTAACAGCATTACAAAAATCAGTATCTTTCCATATTTTAGAAATATTTTCTATATTGGTTGTTCTATTTGTTTCTCCACTTCCAAACTGTTGAGAAATATGACTTTGTAACACGTTACTTTGCTTTCTAAACTGTGTAAATTCAAACTGGCTGCCTGTTTCTTCCAGGATATTAGAAAGTTCAGCAATTTCAGCTTCTTGGCTTGCTGTCAAAGTTTGATTTGATTCTTGCAAGGATTGTTGACTTCCAGGAAAATCTGTACATAGATCAACTTTATGTGGAATAAACTGTGTATGCCTAGGTTCAAGAAAACTTGCCCGTGGATCTAAAGAATCAGATAAATTACTATTCAAATTGCTTTCCACATCTGAGAAAAACATATTTTCCTTTTTGACTTGATCTGAAATATTTTTGACTCTTACCATGGAAGAGGCTTCAAAGCATTCATTTTCAATATCTTTGAACAACATTTTGCCTTTTGCTACACTGTCTTCAGAGAATTTAATCTGCTTATTGGAAGCAGTTTGAAAGCCACTGAAGCTCAGATTTAAACGGCATGCATTTAGATTTCCTGACCACCTCTCTTTAAGCTCTAGGTTCTCATTTGGATTTTTGTTGGAACACATAGGTTTTAATGAATATACATCTTTGTATGGCACAATATGTTTAGAAGGAATTACATTTGTCTTCTTTAAGTAATGTTTTTCTTCAGTGTTAGGGTTAGGTACCTTCTTTGACAGATAAAGTCTTGCTTTTTGAGTTATGGTTGCAAAATGATCTTGTGCAAAAAGATCTGGTACTGTCTGTTTATCTTTTCCAGAAATTACTTCATTTAAAGAATTATCATCTATAGAATCCAACAACTCTTTAGTACTCACTGCACCTACAGTATTGCAAGCAGTTGCTTGAAGGTTTTCATTGTTTTCCATTGACTTTGTTTCTTGATTGTCAGCTACAATTTCTGAAAAGGAAGCTATATCTATTTCTTCCCCTTGTTTTAATTCAGTATTACAATTTTCTGAGCCTTTTATTCTCAAAGGCGCAAGTATTTCTCTACATTCAACTGCTGACAACTGGTCTGTAGCATGCTTTTTTTCAGTTGATATTTTATTGCAACAATCACTACTGACCTTATTTTTGTCAAAGGTGATTTGACTCGAAGTATTATTGAAACTACTGTTTGTCAGAGATGTTGTGTCATGCTGCGTAACAATCAAGCATTCGCTATTACCAGCGGAAGATGGTGCGAGTTGTCCTTTAAGGCCCTGAGGTACAATAGCTCCATCATTCACATTAATACTCATATACATATCCTCCTTCTCTTTCTCTAAGCAATAGCCTTCAGGCAGCAGTCTAGAACGCTTTCTTGCCATAAGGCATGCTGAAGTTAGAACTTTACGTTTTATATTTGAAATTCTTTCACTATTTAAAGACTCTGTCATGTTTTCGTTCCAAGTATTAGATACTTCTAAGCATTTTAATGATGTAACAGGTTGATGCTCTCTTGCATTTTTCACCATGTCTTTCAGCTCCTGTTGTTTCAGCCTGCTGTTGAAGGCATTATAAGATGAGTTATCCATTATATCCATTTTTATGGTACAGGTACTGACATTTTTTTCCTTGATATTAGATTGCAAATGCTTTCTCTCAGCAGAAAGCAGGTAGCCTACAAAAGACATTACAGAACAGAGTTGTTAATAACATGGTCGTCATTTATTCAAAAAAATGCAGATTAAAATGTTCATAAAATTTTGGCCCATTCACAAGGTATTTATGGTACCAGTGTTAAGCATATGTAATGCTTTTGCTTCCAAACGTGAAAGTTTTGACAAGGTTGGAGCTTTACCTGATCCAATCATGTTCTAGTAGCCAGAAACCAGTGAGTAACCTGCAGTTAATACTATCAGTTAAAATAAATGATTTGTAGTTGTAATTAAATTTGAAAAGATGGATTTCTATTCCTTGTGTTTCAACAAAGCATATGCTTCAAACTGTAAAGAGCAATGCTTCAGTTGCCAATATTAAGTAACTATTTTGCAAGAACAACAGCTTTTAAAAATAAGTGTATGTGCTTGCTTTCATTACATAATTTAAGCTTTTAAAAATATTCTGTACTCCTGGAAGAAAAAGACCTACAAATTTAAACCTTTTAACTTTAGAAAAATAGCCAAAGAACTCTAACATACTTTATGCTGTCTTAGAAATCACCTACAGAGGCAGGAAGACACTTGACACTCCAGGAGTCCAAACAGCAATGGCAAAGATAACTGAGCTTGTCAATTAGAATAATGGTTCAAGGTGGAAGTTTCTATTCCAGAAACTAGTTTGAGACTAAATAAGTTAGCACCAGACTATCTGAAAATATTTATGCATTTCTGTCACCTTTGTCATTAACAGACCAATCTGAAATCTTGGTTACCCGACTAATCAGTTGCAGAGACGCTTTATCACTGAGAAGAAGTAATAAAGACTTTAATAAGTGAAAAGAGAATCCTCCACCAATGAAAGAAGCTTAATGATATACCTTGATCATCATCTCTGGCCTTGTGACAACTTTTAAATGAATCAAACTCCGAAGACGGCAATGTAGGATGAGCAGGTGATTCACAGGTTAGTTCTTTCTGAATTTTTTCTTCTTGATACAGTAAAGTGTTATTTATTCTATAAATAAATCTCTTGGATCTCTTTTTCAAGCTGGATAACATATTTAGCCTTTTTAAGCCAGATTTTTTAAAAGTATTTTCACCATCTGTTAAATCTAGGTCACTGCAATTATCTGGAGATATAGTGCCACATACAAGTGGATGAGATAGAACATCAGTTAAGACAGATTTAGAAGTTGCTTTTAAATGCTTGGAAAAGCTGCTGTTGTAGACTACAGCATACTCTGTGACATTTGTACTTTCAATTAAAAAAGAATTACAGTCTAAAAAGCTCACTTTAGAAACCTTTTCAGCAACACATCCTTTTAGTAACTTTGGATCTTGAATACTCAAAGACACAGATTTTACTGGAGGTATTTCCAATGTTGGATTGTTCTCAGAATTTTTCACTTCACAGCACTTCTCTGACAAATTGACACTCAACAGCTTTTGTGCTTTTAACAAACTTGAAGTATTCAGTAAAGATGTTTCTACAGCATCCTCTTTGGTCATTACTACTGATTTCTCTTCAAAATTTTTCTCTCTACTTAAGTCAGATGGTGGAGAGCTACACACAGACATTTCCAAGTGAGCGACATCTAGATCAGATAAGTTCAGCTGAGACCACTGACTGGATGAAGATGATAGGTCTTCTTCCACAAGCTTCCTGCTGTCAGATGACTTCTGTATTCTGTTATCTTCCACATCCATGGTGATCTTAAGCGACTCTGATTCCTTCTCATGTCCAGTTAAACAGGCATGCTTAACACACCTATCTTCATCAGTTTTCTGGAGTAAAGAGTCCTTCATTTCAATTGACTGGGTTTTTTCAGTCCAGCTAGTTGTTTTCACTTCCTGTGAACTGCCAGTCTGTCTTCTAATAGGCTCTTCAGAAGGAACATCCCCCCTTCCTTGTGCTTTATCTATAGTTATTTGACATATCTCTCCTGCATCCAAGGCATTTGGCATCAGCGGAAGGGTTCCATTGGACTTAGCAGGCATGCTGAATGTATCCTCAAAGCTATCCATCTCGCCAAATGAGCCATCTAACATCTTCTCTGGCTCTAAATAGTTTAGAGAAGACAGGGAGAGGAAAAAGAATAATGATTACGTCATAGAAAACTTGAGAAACAACATTGTGGTTTTTTACCATGCAATCCAAAGTTGTACTTACCTTTGCTCAGGAGTGAGTGTGGGAAGATATATGTATGTGCCTTTAAAATAGGTTATTCTCCAATAGCTGCTGTTAGAGAGAGAAAATAGCAGGCAAGGAATGTATGTGCAGATGCTTATGGCCTCCTGAGGACTGCTAACCTGTTACACAGGTTTCCAAGATGAAATCTATTTTTTTCAAAAGAATTTTGCTTTTTCTCTAGATAGGAGAATGAGTAGGAAATTTTACAAGATAAATGTCTAGATTTTTTCCTCTGAAATTTTTACCGAATTTTGGGCAATAAACATCTTAAGAAACTGCCTAATTTTGTCTGTAGCTGGGAGTTAAATGAACTGTTATTTAAGGATGATTCTATTAAACTTTGTCTTTTCCTTTGATCTACAAAATTATAGTATTTAGAAGGATTCTTAAATATATTTTTTTTTTAAAAAAAATGCTTAGCTAGCTTTAAGAGGCCCCAAATGATTGGCAAAACTATTAGAAAAATAATAGTGAGGATTTTTGTTTGTGTAGAGAAATATTATGCAGTAGGGAAAAAAAAAATCCAAACTCTATTTGGCAGACAGCCTTGAAAACCTATATATACAAAGTAAAAATATTACCTTCTCAAATGGATGAAATTAGGCCTACCTTTTAAATATTTAACATTCAAAAAGATAGCTAGGTTTTATTCTGAGGATACTTTTTAAGACATGAAAACTTATTTTTCTCATCAAAGAAATCAAGTACCCAGAAACATCTCTGTCTTCTGTTTTTCTGGGCATATAACCAATACACCATAAGTTTTCCCATAAGCATTTCTGGAGGTAAATTTTCTTTAATTTATAACTCTTTTCCCTTTTAGGAGTATTAAATAATCTAGTGTCTGAAGCCTTTTCCATTTAGAAGTCCCTAGATTACCCACTACTTAGTCACACATATCCAACAGTGTGTAATACAGTCCAGTCACTGCTCATGCCCAGCCTGTAGGCATAAAATCACCTCTCTCATCACAGCTCTTGAATAGTTACTGATTCTCTTTAAAATTTCCCTTCTATTTTTAAGGGGAGTGGCAGAAGGCATGAGTAAACAAGATCTCTGAAAGAAACTATAATACTACAGATTGAGGCTGCAAGTTCTTTTCCCAGATTAAAAGTGCATTCTTTTGGAGTAAATTCTCCACCCACATCCTTTCATCCTGTAACTATTTGTCAACAAAACTGTTTGAAAGACCCATTTGTATTCCTTTTTACTTCTAAAGGCATTAGTTTGAATAGAAAATCAGAACTAACAGTATATGAAAGAGAAGATACTGTTCATTCGCTGACTAACCTGATCCCTGATTTTTTCCTTGGTAAGTTGATTTTGATTTCTAAATTTACTGGAGGGGCAGACAAAGGACAGATAACCCCCAAAACTAGGACTGAGAAACAGGATTCTTCCATTTTCCCGGTAAGTGCACTAACTAGGCAATAACTGCTTAATTTGTTTTCTCAGAGCCTCTCCTGAATAACTACAATACTCAGGGAAAAAAAAAAAGGCTTAAATAGAAGAGGTTGGTAATGTTTCTGCTCTGGATTCATATATTGACCAAGTGTTAGAATAGAATACATTGTCCTATTTCATACTGGAATCCTTATAAGCAGAAGGTATTGAACCCATTTCTCCTAGAAGGGGAATGAATGGCCCCATTTTGTTTTGTTTGTTTTTTTTTTGAATTAAAGAGTAAGTATCAAGCTGTAAGCCACAGCCCAGGGCAAAGCACCTAAAATGTTACAGAACTTCATGTTTTCCATTGGCTTGTCAATTTAAACAGCTTCACAGTCAACATGCTGGCTACCACATACTTGAAAAATCGTAACTCTGAATCTATGGTTATATAGTACCTTGAGCAAAGCTGTGACTTCTGCTATAAGGCCAGATGCCTAAAACTTAGTGATGCAATGACCTGTGCTATGCTTACTTAAACTAAGAACTTGAACATTAAGAATTAATGATGGGGTTATAAATAAATATACTTAAAGATTGCATGCAAATTTAGATAATCTGTGAGAGCCTTACCTGTTAATACAGGATAGTACACATCTTAAAGTCCTCACTCACAGTAAATGGAAATCAGTTAGAAAAAAGTTACACCAGAAAACCCCCAAATCCAGCAGTATTTGAAATATTTGAGAGTTCTTGAACTTCAGACTGACTGCGTATATTCAGTCTCACTATTGTTAAGGATATAGCTGGTACAATATTAATAAACAATCTTTTCATTAAATTAAAACTACAAAGGTGTTCAATCAATACTATGTCTCTCTTATTTTCTTTGACCAAGAAAAAATCTAATAAAACAGACTGCTTTTCCAGATTATACTAGTACAAAATATATACTGCTATATAAAAATATATATAAAAATATATACTACTACTACACTACTACAACAAAACAAACATTCAAAAGCTACCAAGAGGTGGAAGATAGAGTTGCTAGTACCTTTCTTTTAACATTGTATCTTTGAATGCCAACTTAAATATTATCAAAAGGGGAAGGAGCATAGAAGGAGCACTTACAAACAATATTGTAAACTTTAAAAGCCAGTTTCTTCCTCCTCTTCTTTCTACTACAGCTATTTTACCTAGGCTTTTCTGCTGTACTATGGGCTGTGATAAGGTATCCTGGAACACAGCAGAGGGTATCAGTTTGTCCTTCATTTCGAGAAGTATTATACTGACCATAAACTACTTGATTATGTTCAGCACCAATTCCAGTCTCTTTTCCTTCATGTTTCACACTAAGATACAAAAATAGTAGCACATATCTCTCTGCAAGCAATGATGTTTCCTATCTAAGCACTCTCAGCCCTCCCTCTTAACACCTGAGGCGATTCTTTTGCAATCCTTACATTTACCAACAGTATTTTAGGGCAGCCCATTTAATTTAGATAAGAATGAGACATAGTCCCAAAGATTCAGCTTCCCATCTATCCCACGTGCATCTCTACAACATCTACACATCCTGAACAAAGTTCTCTGTTAATATCCTTCCCTTTGCCATCATTTCTCAGCAAAAACGTGAAAGCCAAACTAAAGTGTATGCTTATTCTTCTTCACCAACATGTTCTAAGAACACACTATGAAAGCAATTTTTGTTGGCTGAGTTTTTTCTGATGTATTAAAAAGGATAATATTCCTTTTTCCTAACAGATTTTGTTACGTTTTGAACTTCAAAAGATGAAGCGAATGAAGAAAGAATAGCACGATTAAAAAACAAGCACATCACAGAACAATAAGTGTTAGGTGTGATTGCATGAGAGAGAGAAACCAATCTGTTAGCTAGAAATAGTCTTGCTCCTCCTCTCTAGCCTGTACTTTTTTCCCCGCCTCTCAGCTCTCATTTCCACAGTCTCTCCCCTTCACTTACATCAGTACCAATCTGGTTATCCAATGGCATGGTAACCTGATTTAATTCACTGACCCATCAGAAATTGATTCCCCCTTTTTATGGCAAGATTAGTTTTTACAAGTAGAATCAATTTAGGAGATGGGAGTACACAACTGGCAGATGAAATAAACTGTAAGATTATCCCAAATCACATAATGCAACTTCATCCTCAGACTTGCTTCACAAAGTGCCCAGTAACAGCAGTAAAGCATTAACACTTACCAGCATTTTCAGCATTTAGCTTTATTGCCTCTGGTATGGACTGTATAGTTGTCTCACTCCTCCCAGGATATTTATCATGTTTGGAGAAAAAATTACGTGAAACCTGTAAACCCAGCAGTCACACTGTTACATAGACTGCATATCAATTAAGGGTCAGCTTAATATTAAAATATATAACCCTAAATATTTACTATAATAGCCGAGTAATTCTGCGCTTCTTAAAATAAAACGTAGCATATTTTTGCAGGGAAACTGAATATCTTGAAAATAAGCAAGCTGATAATTCTGCAACCATTTAAGGGCAGTGAATGAATTCAGTAGTTTAATATATATAAGCCTTTCAAAAAAAAGAAGGAAGGAACTAAAAGAAGGAGAAAGGTTGTTTTAACTTCTAACAGTTGGTTTGTTAACTGTGAAGTTTCAGGTAGTAAGAATGAAATGTAAATCCATAACTGAATCCCATTAGCACTGCCCTTAGCTTTCAGTCTCAATAATCATTGAGTGTTCATATACATAGAGTAAAATTATAGTTGTACAGAACCTCTCTCTTTCTTAACAACATAAAAGAATTGAAATTAGTACTCAGTTTTAACCCTTGATGTAGTGGTTGAGCTCAAGACCTTATCTGACAATATAAGGCAAACAACAATTGTCACAGCTTTGACAAAGGGGAGGAAAATACAGGAACTAACAAACCTACAGCAAAGTAGCACATTGTAGTTCCTAGAGGTGATTTCTGTTTGAATTGACTCACACTGCCACTGAATCCAAGTTAAGTAAAAAAAAAAAAGTCCTCAAAGGGGTTGTATTTGTGAAGCATAATCTACAGCCAGGTTTTGCAAGCTTAGTTTTGTGAGCAATAAGTTTTACAAAGAGCTAGATAAGAGAGCATAGAATGAAAGTGAGGTAATTTTTTATTCTTGGCACAAGCAATTTGAGTATGTAACTAAATAGCTTAAGTGTAATTAAAGAATAGCATAGCTCTTAAATCTACTTACTATCTCAGCTCTTTCATCTTGTTGCTTTACTTCAGAAATAGAATCATTCTCTCTAGCTTTAGAAGAAAGATAGACATGTCAATTCATTTGTTCTTAGGTGACTGGCTGAGTGTGTTCAAATACAGTTGGGGTGTTGAGAGGGGTTTTCTTTTGATTATTTTAAATGCAACTGAAATCTGTAAAGTAATGAAATAGCCCCTAAAGACTAACGGCAAGTTTAACTGAAAACACTTACAGGTGAGATTCTCTGCTAAGAGAGAGCATACACACACAGTTCTGTAACAGCATAAAACACCCTCAATCACACCATGTGGCTACTGCTGTGCAGGTGCAGGAGTTACCACCCTGAGCACACCATCACCCTTTCCAGAAGTTATTCATGACACTCCTCCCTAATTTGCTTCTGTCACATGATCTCAATAAATACTTCAAGCTACTGTCAGGAATTTGATTTTTCTTTGCCCCTCCCTCCTCAACCCCAAGCAGTAATATCCGCTTCATCCATATTACAAAAGGAGAGCGTAAACCCTATTTTTAAGATTGCTAAAGAGCAGTATCTTGAAATACCTACCTTTCGTTAACATGGCATCTAGATTCCTGTGCGCTATTAAGATCAGTAACTTGAACCCCTCCCTTGAAGCTGCTAAACAACTTGTTCTTTCTCGTTCTTTCCTTTTACAGGTAACTGATGACAAAAAGTGGGCATCGTGACTATGAAATAATACGCTCTTGCATAAAGTGAGAGAATTAGAAAGCGGGTTCAGACCAGAACTCATCTCCCAGGAGAGTCTCTCTAAGCTAGGGTTAGTTTTCCCAGACTTCCTTTTCAAGCCACGTCATTCCAAAGCCATGAACATGCAAAAAGAAAAGGCACAATTTATCAGCCCTGTGAATGGCACAATTCAGTAGCCCATCCCTGCTGAGAAAGGAGACTCTCACTTCTTGAATGCATTCTTAGTCAAATACTTCACACTGTGACCATTTAACAAAAATAAATATAGTCTTTCCATTTTCTCAAGGGTTTTCATCATCAAGTCATATAGTCAAACTTCATTTTGCCTGTTCATCACATGTAAACAAATTACACTTAGGGCAAAACCTTAGGCTGAAGCTTGATGTTCAGTGGCTATGCCATTTAACAGTCATCACCCACTCGTCTTCATCCTCTGTTATGCTGACACAGCTGTTTGTGCAGCTGTGCAGTAAATGAGATCCGGGAATTACTCTGTCTGAATAATCTAGGAAAAATTGTTTTTCAATTGAATCAGTATCCCAATCTGCTTGACTGCCTCAGTACAACAGCGAGGATTGTGAGAGGGCTTGAAATGCTGAAGCCAGTGCTGCTGCTGGAAAGCTGCTTGATGAACTACACCCTTGGACTTCCTAAATGTACTCACCTTGACATAATGGCATCTTGCTTTGTGATGGTGCAAACAAACAATCACTACCTAATCCTCTTTCTATGCTTTGCTATGTTAATTCTAATTTTATATTCCCTAGCTCTTTATACAAAGGAAAAAAGCTTTTGAAAGCAATTACACGTTTAGTTTAATTTCTTTCTTTTAGAGTCACATAATTTAAAGTCACCCACGGACCATTGCTGTAAGAGTTTTGTCTTCTTGTCAAGAAAATTCAAATATGCCTGTTCTTCTAGTGTCAAAAACAGAACAGTATTTAACTCTTAGCAACTATTCATTATTAGAATTACCTATTATCACTGTTGCGCCAAGTGTTGGAGGTGTGGCTAAAGAACTTGACCAGGACATATCTGGATCCACTTCTGCTCCCAGACTTTCAGAAATACGTTTTGGAGTTCTGACCTAAAAATATATTTAACAATTATTTCTACACAAAGTTTTAAAGATACTACTCAGGAAAAAGAAAATAAAACACAGGAATAAATATTTACCTCCAAAAGTTTTGGTGTGCAAAACAAACTTCCATATTGTCCTAAAAAGGATTAAGTAGTAAGAATATGTAATTTATATCTACAGATATCAAATATTTTGTAAAATTAAACAATGAAAATACACACCTGGAATATTACCTCTGTGTGGAGTCCTGCAAGTGTTCCTTAAAAACCAAAACCAAATAAAAAATATTAATTTTACTTCTCAACTTCTGAAAATAAGAACAGTAAATATTGATACCAGACATTATGTACAATAAATTATACCACTCCCTTCATTTTCTCTCTTTTTTTTTTCCCAGTCATAACTTTTGCCCTGATAAACAAAATGTAAATTTCTTCTCCTGTGTGTCTTTCTGGACCACCAGTCCAGAAATTTAAACTTAAAGGTAAGTTTATTTCAAGCTGCAAAATATTTCTTTTGTGAAATATGCTCATTTTCAATGATGAGTCTTACTAAATCTCAATGCAATCTATCCACACGTTTCTTAACATGCTGTATGAAACTATGGAAATCGGCTCAATTAATTGGATTGAATTAGATAATTAGTTGAATTATTCTTTATAACTAACATGAGTAGTTTGAACAGATTTATCTGAAAAATACGTATTTAATTGTAGAAACTGAGTCTACTACTAAAGAAGATCCTTGTAAATGTTATGAATAGTATTACAAATTACTACGTTAGAAGCACATGATACATCACTACTACCATTGCCTGCACTGGATTTTGAAGATTTGGGAAAGTGAAATAACGTTAAAGAGTGGAAAAAATAAAAAGAAAGAATGCCTAAGAAAACGGAAATTTTCAAAAATTAGCTAGTATTTTATTTTCAACTCTCTTGGCAACGTATGAGTATAATAAAAACATAAGATGATTTGCAAGATTATCCATTGCTCTGAAAAACACTACCAGTCAAACACAGTGGTTTTAAGATTGCTTTTGGTTTAAAATCCATTTTATTTTAAATTTGTGTTTACATATTTAACATACCTAGCAGCATGACATACACCAACAGGAGAAGCAAATGTTTCATTTCCTTGATCTATTTTTGTTCTTATGATTCTTGGACTAATCAAATTTTCTTTGCCTGGAATACAGAATATAATGATCAACAAAGTCTTGCAGAATCACATGTAATAGTTTTGATTTTGAAGTTTAAAGATAAGCTTAAAAAAAAAAAAAAAAAAGCAAAGTATGATTTTTTGTACCAAAAGTTATCTAATGTTACCTTGTCCTCTAGTGTTTTGAACGTGTTCAAATTCTACATTAAAATAATGCTAAACACATTTCAAATGCACAGCCAAAATAAATAACTCCATTTGTCACCTTATTCTTTTGTTAAATGTCTGTTTCAGTATATTTCCTAGATATTAGTCAAGTAATATATTCCATTTTAATGTTGCATTGTGCATTTCTTCTTATTGCAGAAGTTGTTCTCAGCAGAAACTCAAAACAGGCAAACATGCACTTATACCAGTTTTCCCTCAACTTTACTTAAGACATATGGCAAACATGCACTTATACCAGTTTTCCCTCACCTTTACTTAAGACATACACTTCTTGATATGAATGAACAGCAGAAAGTGAAATTTTTTTCTGGAACTATTTGTATGCCATGCATCCCTAGGTAAAAGAGAGAGCATGCTCATCAAAGAAGCAGAATCCTTTGAACAGTGAGCCCCTCACATGAACAAGCACCAACTCAAACAATTCCTACTTAGAAATTTCCAAACAATTTCCATCTCAGAAATTGCACCTATGTTTCTGCATCTCTGACTGCTTCCGAGTTCCTGAGTCCATATGCCCACCAGCATGGCTGCATCCCAGTACCATACCAAGGTGAAATCCAGACGTGCATCGGCTTCCATCCATGCTCTTATTTTCGCAAAGGGAAACCTAGGCTCACAAGTCAGTTGGCCATGACCCAGAAAACTGGGGGAATAAGATCTCAGGCCATGCCCCAAGGCAGTCCATAGAAACTTCTGTAACTTCCTTGACTGTAATCATTAGCGTGCACAAACCGACATGCTCATGCACATGCAGAGAGGAAGAGTAACCATTCAAAACAGAAGAAGTTCCTTTGTCCCTCTGTCTAAATAGGTAAAGACAGAAGAAACATTTTCAGCTGGGAGTAAGTTGAGCAGAAGCCTGGCTATAAACTTAAGAGAAATACACAGGGTAACAATGCTCTAAGAAGACAATATTATAAGGTGTATTTGAACAGCACCACAGTTCAACACCTTTAAAGCCTTCACTTCAGGATCTAAAAACAAGTCCTATAATGAGGAGAGTCTTATGTTCATCTGTGGCTGATCTAGAAAAGCTTATCTTATTGCCAAGGAGGACACACACAAAGTAGATGTACAAATCAAATACTGTAGTAATGGAGTTAGAAATTCCTCCATAGAAAAGATTCTTACACTTATTTGTCCGAGAAGGATAGGTACTACAACTTGCAGATACATTAAAAAGGAGTGAAGAGTGACACCTACTTTCACAATGTACTCGGGATTTGGAAATAGCGTAATGAGAACTGCCCTGTAGAAGTGGCAGAACTCTTCAAGTAGAAAAATTCTTTCCATCGCTTACAGTTTTACTAACTCAAAGAGCTAAGTTCTTCCAAATCTTTTCAAGAAAATATGAGGAAAGCTCTACAGATCACCTTGTATTTCAGTGTTATAAGCATTATATTCTCTTAGAATATTCAGACTAGGACAATATCTTCTCTACAGTGGTCTTAGTATGTAGGGATACAGTATCAGGTGATTGCAAGGCTAAATTCATTAAGATCAATTCTGCCTTTGTACAGGTGGGCTTAGGAAGCCTACTATGCTTTCTGCTTATCGACAATGCTGCTGCAGAATTTGTATCACAGTACTAGTCATCAGCTACAAAAATAACACGTAAAAAATTCCTCTCTCTTCTGGAGCTCACAAGAAGCCTTTAAACAAACTTATTTTAAAAGTTACTCACTTGCTTCTATGTTTTTCTGATCCAATTCTTTTCCAGGAGAAGAAAAAGGTGGCAATATTGTACTCTGTTCTTCAAAAATTAGTGGAGTTGAAGCCAGCTGGCTGTAGGTAGCAGGTTTTGCCCTTGGAGTTTTAAAAGGGGCTTGATCAAGCCAGCTAATATGACCATCAAGTTCTCCTAACAATTTAGGCTCATAAGGGGAAGCTTCTGAGCTGAGTTCTTCAAACCAGTTGAGACTTATAGGCCCTAAATCTATGAAGAAAAATACATAGAACACCACGTTAAAAAAATAAATGGCATGCAAATTACAAAGTAAGAATTATGAATTTATACATCATTAAACCAGGACATAAAATAGGAATATTCATTCTATACATGATATACCTAAGACCATGTCATAATTAGTTGTAACTGTAGCAAAATTAACGCTTCATGCGGGATGCACGCCTATATTGAACATATTGCTATAATTATATTTATTAGCATGTTTCTGGATAGCTATGAACTCTGATGTTGACAAAGCATAAAAGAAGCTTTGCCATAATTTTAAGACCACTAACAAAACTAACCAAAGAGTAATTAAATATCCTGTTTGTTTAAAATTAAAAGTAAACTCTTGGCTTTTAGTTTATATCTAGTTTTATTCAGACTGGCAAGTTACACAGGTTCCTCTTAACATTAGTATATTATACAACTCTAGGTACATTTGGCAAAAGACTAAACCTGCACTGCATGCAGGTGGCTAAAGAAAACCACAGCTAAAACAAGTACACGGAAGCAACTGAGAACACATTATGAAAAAAAGGCTACAAATAAAAGTTAAATGAAATATATAAAGAATTAGATAACAGTGAATAAAGATTTTGGGCAAGCAGAACAGGCAACAAGTTGAGTAATACTTTTCTATGGGACAAAAAGATCACTGCAAATGCTTATAAAACATCAACATCCTTAAAGCAACTCTAATAAAAACTATTTACTTTAGTCAAACTCTACCTGATTCACTGCATTGCGCCTTAAATATTTCAAAGAAAGTTGGTTTGTAAGCCATTTTCGTATCTGTATCATTACTGGATGGCTTGTTGAAAAACCTGAAAAGAAACAGGAAAACACTTTCACACAGCACTATTCTAAAGTTACTGCTAAACTGGAATACAAGTGTTAACCCTGCTTTCCAGGACCTCTTGGTAGGTGGGCCGTATACCAACGTGTTAGCTTCAGGACTGTGATGTATGTATTCGTTCATAACAACGGACAAGTTATGAAAACAACAGACAAAAAAAGTAAAGGGAATCACACAGGAGACAGCAGAACTCAGCAAACACAGGAGGACAAGATGGAAGGCATATAGCACTTTCGAGATGTTTTAAATACCCTCACACTACTGTATATGAGGATGGAATATACACCATTACCTCTAGACTCTTACAACCACCACTGCAACACACCATGACTTTGGTTGAAAGTTGCTTTCAAGTTGAGCAAACTTTGCCAGTTTTATAATTATATTAAAAAAAAAAAAAAAGTGACCATTGCTAAGATTGCCACAGGAAGACATTTTTTGTGTTAACTTTATCTGAACACGTTTCCACCACACCGTATTTTACTGTTTGTACTGTACAATCAGTTTCCCCTGTGATGGATGGCTTACGCAGGCCTTTGCTCCCCAAAAGGAAAGGAAAAGCATGCTTGTAGAAGCGGGTACATACTACCATAAAACAGTAACAAAATTAAGCCATTAATTAAGTTACTTCAAAAGGACGTGCCATAAGGTGAAGTGACCCCTCTCCCTCCTCTACATTGCTTCCCCCGCGTGTTTACGGAAAAATCCTGCGAGGAAACCAGCACTTTCACACTTCGGGTGCTTTGGCCTGCGACGTTACCACCCCAGCACCGCGCAGCGACCTCAGGCAGGGCAGAGCCGGCCCCTCCTGCCCGGAG